TGCAGCTGCAGCTGCTGCTGCTGCTGCTGCTGTTGCTGTTGTTACAGCAGCAGCAGCAGCAGCAGCAGCTGTTTTTGTAGCAGCAACAGCTGCAGCGCAGCAGTGCTCGTTACACACGCTAAGCGTCATATGATCCCTCTTCTTATTCATCAGCAGCAGCGCGAGGGTTTAGGGTTTAGCAAGCAGCACCAGCAGCAGCTGCAGCAGCAGCAGCAGCAGCAGCAGCAGCAGCAGATAGAAGGGTATGCAGTATTGGATCTGTGATGACGTGAGGGTGTAGAGTTTGGTGTGGGGGGCCCCCTATGGGGGGCCCCCTAGGGATGCCCGGATGCGTAATTGCATGGCGGGGGCCCCCTTCTGGTTTGGGGCGAAAGAAGAAAAAGTTCTTGACCTGGTGGAGGTGAAATATGAGGTGTAGTTTTGTGCGGTTGTTATATATTTTATTTTTTTTTTTTTTGCTGCTGGTGGTGGTGCTGCTGCTGTTGCTGTTGCTGGTGATGATGATGGGGGTAGTGGGTGTGGTGCTGCTGCTGCTGCTGCTGCTGCTGCTGCTGCTTTAGTAAGCGTAATAGGTGTTTTAGCTGTAGGTACGTACACCTGGGGGAGGGGGGGTAGGGGAGTTGTTTATAAGGATAGAGTGAGCATGAGAAATGATAGAAAAGGAGAAATAGGAAAAGAAGAGATAAAAACAAATAAAAAAAAATAAAAAAAGAGAGAAATAGAGAGAATAAGAAAAAAGAGAAAAAGAACAAAAAAAAGAGAAGAGAAGAAATAGCTGGGGGGGAGTAGTGAGGGGGAGTAGTATACGGCGGGAGAGAAAGAAGATAAAAAAATAAATAAAAATAAAATAAAATAATAAATAATAAATTTAAATAAATAAAAAGGAGACAAACAGAGAAAACAAACAAATACAGAAAAAATGAAGCGAGAAGAAGAAATGCTGCGGCAGAGATTGGGGTGTATACACTACACCCTGAGCATTTTTATTATTATTTTTTTATTAAATATATAAAAAAATATCAAATAATTAAAATAATAATTAAAATAATTATTTTTTTATTTTATTATATTACTTATAAGCTAGGGAACAACCATCTTCTGCTGCAGTGCAGCAGCAGCAGCAGCAGCCAGGACCACTGGTTAGTCCACTAGCTGCAGCGTCAGCAGAAATTCTATTAAATTAATATTTACGAACTAAAAAAACTAAAAATATTCTGCATGCAGCAGCAACTCGAAGGACGCGTGGGGTGTTGCAGCGGTGGTGCTGTTCGTTTGGTGCTTAACTATTTTATTTTAAATAAAAAAGGAATAAAAATAAATAATTTAATTTAATTAATTATATTATTTATTCATCATATACACCCCAGAAACGCAACTCAAACGCGGGGTGTATGCGGTGTATGGATGGCGGCGGTCTGCCCAGTGGTTACATACACCCCACCAGGGCGCCGGCTTGTCTCTTATGGAGAAGAATTTATAAATATTAAATAAAAAATATATTTATTTTCTTAATTCTGCAACAAATCCAGCTGAGCCGCTTCTTTACTGCGGCGAAACAGCAGCAGCAGCAACAGCAGCAGCAGCAGCAGCAGCTGCTGCAGCAGCAGCAGCAGCAGAACGCGACCCCCCCCTAGTGAATGTACACCCCGAGCCATCAGCATAATTACTGGATCTTAATTGAACTCTAATTTATTTTATTTTTTTTGTTTATTGTAAAGCTCTCCTTCTCTTCTTTTCTTCTCTCCGGCACGTCGCCGCAGCAGCAGCAACAACAGCAGCAGCAGCTGCAGCAGCAGCAGCAGCTGCAGCTGCAGCAGCAGCAGCAGCAGCAGCATGAACGGCCCCACACCTCCTGGCGGCCTTCGCGGCATTGAGTTGTCTGCTCCTGGGGGCCCCCCTCACGAGAGGGTCAGCAGCAGCGGTGGTTATAGGGCCCCCCGCGGGTACATAGAGGGCCCCCGTGTTGTGGGGGCCCACCATCCTGTATATGAGGGGGCCCCTGGGGCCCCCCCTGGCTGGTCTTCGGGGGGCCCCCCTGGGGGCCCCCCTGGGTGGTCCTCGGGGGGCCCCCCTGGGGGCCCCCCAGGGTGCCCCCCTGCGTGGGCCGCTGAGGGGGCCCCTGGGGAGGCCCCTGGGGGGCCCCCTGATTGGTCCACTGGGGGGCCCCCTGGTTGGTCTACTGGGGGGCCCCCTGGGGGGCCCCCAGGGGGGCCCCTTGGGGGGGCCCCCCTGGGTACAGCTGGGGGGCCCCGGGGGGCCCCTGGGGGCCCCTGGGGTTCTTCTTTTAGTGAAGATACAGACCGAGGGGATGAGTCGGATGGGTATTTGTTTGATTCGTCTGGAGATATAGAAAGGGGTTTAGGTTTGCTGCAGCATGAAGGAGGAGGAGGAGGAGGAGCAGCAGCAGCAGCAGCAAGTGCTGCTGCTGCTTCTGCTGCTGCTGCTGCTGCTGCTGCTGCTGCTGTGAGGAGAGGGTTTATAGGGGTTAAACAGCAACTAAGAAATACACTCATCAAGTGGCTGGGGCCCTCCCCCCCCCCTGCGTTGCTGCGGCCGCTGCTGGCAACTCGTCGTAGAAACAGCAGCAGCAGCAGCAGCAGCAGCAGCAGTAGTAGCAGCAGCAGAGAGAGACTCTGGATGCGGGGGGGACTGTCATCATCAGCAGCAGAAACAGCAGCAACATCAGCAGCAGCAGCAGCAGCAGCAGCAGCAACAGGAGCTGAGGAGGGTTCATTCGGTTGGGTTGATGATGATCAGCAGCAGCAGCAGCAGCAGCAGCAGCAGCAGCAAACGAGAGAAGTAGTGTTTAAAGAAGGAATAAAGAGGAGGGGTTTACCGACAAATAAAAACAACCACAACCACCAGCAGCAGC